CGGAAGTCCGCACATCTTAAAGCATGCTGGCTGGGAAATTCTGGGAGCGGAAGTCCGCACATCTTAAAGCATGCTGGCTGGGAAATTCTGGGAGCGGAAGTCCGCACATCTTAAAGCATGCTGGCTAGGGAATTCTGGGAGTTGAAGTCCAGACAACTTAAAGTTTCTAAGGTTGAGAAACACCGCCTTAATTCTTTTCCTTGCTGTTCAGAACGGAAAACTCCACTGTACATGCACTTTTCAAACCTGGTACATGCACTTTTTAGATCATACATAACTCTTTTTTTTCTTCTCTAAGATCTTGGAAAACCTTTGTGGAATATCTGAATAAATGGGAGCATCTCTCATCCTGCCTTTATTCTCTGTCAGTCCCAAAATTGAATTCAGGAGTTTCAGACTGAAGTCATTTTTTATGGCTGGTAACAATACTTAGAAAAGAATAACCATTCCTTAAGCGGTGATGAACTGCACACGTTCTTGTCTTTTGGGTCCTCCCTTTTTCCCCCTTCTCCTCCCGCCGCAGTTTCAGGAAATCCCAGAGCTGATTGGTCGGTTCCAGACCCTGGTGGCCACCCAGACCAGCTTGGCCCAGAGGGAACAGGCTGCTCGTGAAGCTGTGGAGGAGGAGCGCGCGTGCTTGCAGCAGTACATGGAGGAAAGCAATAACCAGCTTCTGCAGCAAAACAATCTGGTGGCTGAGCTACAAGGCCAGCTGGAGCAAGTCCAGGCCAAGGTGTTTGAACTGGTAAGATCAGGGCATGGGTAGAGGGTAGGGTGGGATAGTGCGAATGGTGGAGGACTGTAGTCAGGCCCAGCCCAAGAACCACAGGGAAACAGTCCAACAGAGTCCAGTTCTTTTATTGCTTACACCATATAGACAAAATCTTGCCGGACTAAACCTGTACTACTCTAACCTAGTGGATCTACCCTGGGAGATTCTAGGGAGTGGCTATCCTGAACTTCTTACACTTCCCGCACTCCTGCTCCGGACTGTGTTGTCTCTTGTCTCTGCCCTTCTTGGAATGCGCCCCCCCTTTCCTGATAACCTTGCTCTCTCCTGCAATCTACCACATCGCACACACCCTTCGTAGATATATTCCATCACATCTATTGATGAAGTTGGTTGAAGCTCTTAAACAAAAGCCTTTGCTTTGTGGTTGTGTAGAGATATGCATTGTTGTTTTTTTTAAAGCCAAACAGAAATCCTCCGCACAGGTGCTTCAGGTTTTCTGTTTCAAAAAGCTGCATGATTATCTATACAACTTGTGTCAAATATACCATGAGGGGGAGAAGGGCCTTATGTGTGTATGGTGAACTGTGCTGATATGATGGAAAGTATCTATGAGGAGGAGAGTGATGTGGGAGATCAAGGCCACCAGGAGGGGAAAGGAGATAAAAGACAACACAGTCTGCAACACGAGCGTGGGAAGTGAAAGAGGTCTGGCAAGATTCTGTCTATCAGGTGTAAGCAAATAAAGGAACTGAACTCAACTGGACTGTTTCACCGTTGTTCTTGGGCTGGGCCTGACATCCACTTGGCAATGTTGCAGGGTTCCTGCTTCTAAATGCACAAAAGCTTTGTGGTTGGGCTCAACAGTTGCATACTTTTGCCCTACCCTGATGGTCAATTCATACAGAACATTAAGTTGTAGTAGCCTCATTGGCCCCAGTAGTAATGTATGGCTGTGAGAGCTGGGCCATAAAGAAGGCTGAGGG